CCCCCCCCCCCCCCCTCATTACTCTTTTCCCTTTTTTCCTAGCATTCTTTCAGATTTGCATCCAGCATCGGAACTTCTTTCTGTTCTCCATGGACAGAGACTGACCTTCACGCTCTGACGAAGGCGACTGGCCGGAACCCTGGCCTACTAAAAATTGTAACATCTTTTCCGAGATTTCAGAGAAGGACACCTAGGACATCAAGTTATCATGCAAAGATTCAGTAGGCTCGAACATGATTGCTTTCAATATTACTCAATTTTACAGCTGGACCTCACTACTCTCTTGCAATCATCGCTTCTATTATCTTCCAGGCAATCCCGTCTCATTGCGTTTAATCGTGTCTTTCTTCTCGTATTTCAGTCGTACCTTAAAGTTTCCACTGGAAAAACAGGGAATTTTCTATTTCCTCCATCCATTATGTGAAAACTGCTGTTTGATAGTTAATCAAGCATCTCACTTCAGGTGCAGGTCAACGAGTACTCTTGCCGAGTACTTGGGTTTGGGTCTTACGCCCTGGGTTCGTGTTAAGATCAGAAGGCATTTACTTTGGCTTGCTCAGGATTATCTTTTATTGGTTGCGTTGCCCAGACTGATCTGCACTTCCACTGCAGACATTATGGATTATTCTCTGTGCAGTATGTGCTCTCAAGTAAGTTAATTTCCGTGCCCCTTATTCGGCAGCTGATGATATGGGCTGGCTTTTCGAAATTTCGATATCCAGCGCCTGAGAAGTTAGGAGAACATATTTAGTTGTAGGATTTCGGCTTGCGCGAGTATTTTGTTTGTTATGTATCTTTTATATCAGGGCGCCCGAGAAGTTCTGAGAAACTTCTGCCTATCAACTGTAAAAAAATGTTGCTACTGAGTGCGCTAAAGGAGGACTAGGTTGTACAGCAGGAAAAGGGCATTGTCGATAGATCAATACTATAGCTTAGCGGTATTTGACGTGGTCGTTCAAAGGAGGTAATCGTCGACCGAACCATCCACAAGACTACCGGAGCCTTCTGCTTCACAATTACAAACTGAACACTTCGGCACACAAGCTTCGAATTAGACACAGTGACTGATAGGCTACAGTGCGCCATCTCTTACCATCAACCATAAATGGCACGATCTCTTCCTCTGAGAAAAGATTTGCTTCGCCGAAGTTCGTCTAAGCGGGCGACCACGGTCCTCAAATACCGACACTGTTCTGGCCTCCCCTCGTAGCAATCTTCCTCAAAGTCTCAGAAATCAAATAGACGATCTTTACTCCCGAGTCCCTCATCCACGACGTTTTAAGCGAAAGTCGCTTCTGAAGCAGGACTCTTTGCAAACATCGCATACTCCTTGACTGAGAAGGAGCGTCGAGTGCGAACCAGTGTAAGCTAAGCGCTGCGCGACTGTAAGCAACTACGACATCAACCGACTTCATTTTTGCTCAGTTCCAAAAGTGCAGGTCATATGGAAATCCACATAGGAAATCGCAATGCCTACCAGCGAACGATAGACCACAGCTCACTACGGAGCGAGGCGCTCACGCCGAGAAGACATGAGCTCACTCTTCCTCTGTGTTTTACTCTGAGACCCTACTAGACGAATAAATTTTTGATTGTGATCGATAATGTTCGACTACCCCCGAGTAACGTCGATGGATGAGGCAAAAAGGCTAGGTATAACCTGACTCCCCCACTTCGCACATGTTCATCTGACCTCAACCTATACGGCTAGCATACATTCAGGAGTCCATAGGCCTGCTCATTGGGAAAAAATTCAGGGAGTCATGTATGTAGTAGACGAATGGATTGCATTACGCCTCTCTTCTTCTTAGAGAACAATCATCAATGCTCAGTCCGGTTGATGGTGAGACAGTGTGGCTAAAAAGGGTCGCTATCTTGATCACTGATTTAACTTTATTGTTGTAGTTATTTTGTATTGAAAAAACCGGCTGATTTTTTTCGAAACTATCCGGACACCCTAATAGTTTTTGTTACAGATTGCTCTGAGCTAGCATTTATCCTTGAAACCATCTCATAGCGCACCTTCGAGTTCATTACCAATAAGGAAAAAAAGCAAAATGTGCCACCATCGTGTAGATTTTAGTAGTCCATTCAAGAGTATGCTGTTGTAGAACTCGATGTGTAGTAGATTGGAACTGGGTAGATTCAGATTTGGTGTATATTCTCGTCAGTAATCGCATATACATAGCTACTCCAAATCCACCGTACCATCTTCCTGCACATATTGTGAACACAACGTCATGCAACTACAGAAGACATCCACAACGTGCACACCCAGATCTACACGTACTGAAGGCCGAATTCAACTTATCAATGCCGCCCTCTTATCATAGCTTCCACACAACAAGATTCCAACTCTGAATCGGAAGGAAACACCCGCGAAGGACAAACAATTAGAGATAGCATTTTCTTTTGCAAGCGCATGTATGCTATTCAAACAAGAGTAAACGCAAATGTACCATTGAGAAGCTTAGCGGATGTGCGTAGGGTTTTGGTAATGTAGTGGAGAAGAGTGTAGTTACCTGAGACTTGACCTTTTCCTACTACTCAGCGCCTTTTCATACCCAAAGTTCATTAACTTAAGAATTTGTTGTTGGTGAAGCCTTTCACAAGATCAGCCTACCTATTCTGCTTATATTTTGCTTCTATTTCAATTGCGATTTAGTGGTAAGGCACGTCACTTCTGCGACAGAATACTTCGAAAGTGATTTTTCCTCAATACGTACAGATTTCGTCGAACCACGGATGATCTCGCACAAATACTGTGACTGAACAACACTGTTGATCCACGGTGAAGGTAGAAACTTTATAATATTGTATGCATATAGATTATTCGTTGTGAGTGTAAGGCTATTTTCTGCGGCCGTTGTATAGCGGAACTTGTTGGGCACCATTCTGATACTGCATCTGATTCGAGTTTGACTGGTACTGGTTGTTGTTCTGAGGTACGTTTTGCATGTATTGGTTTCCTTGTTGACCATACTGATTGCTAGGGTCATAGGCAATGTTCTGCTGAGGCTGCTGTGAAGTGCCGCAATTTTGAGGGCTGCACAAGCAAGGTACCTGGAACACGATTAAGTCATGAGGTTATTTCCTTATCCATCTGTTATATTATATTATTTCACACATAAAGCTCAAAAGCATTAGTCACCTGGGGTGCTGCCGGCAGAGATGGAACTGTAGGGAAATTCTGTTGTTGTGTTAGTGAAAACGTCTTGAAAATGCCGCTCACCCAATCGCCCATCTGCAATACAGTAATCTAATGAATATTCATGGAGAATAATTGATGCGCAAAAGCACGATGATATGACTAGGTGATCCTAACAAAATTTGAATTGCTCTGCATGAGTTGTAGAGCGTAGAAAGGGGAAATTATTTATAGTATCCGTAAATGCTGATAAGCCGAAGTCAGTGATCAGTGATTCTAGGGTGTGGTGCATTAGGAACGAAATGGTCGCGTCGCGGTGAGAGGGGCGTCGCGCGCGAAGGAATGTAGCAGGATGCAGCAGTAGGTAAGAAATACAATAACAAAAGTACTAATAGTAGAATTATGCATAAAATAATATCGAGCTGTATGAAGAACGCTAGAGCTGTAATAACGGCGAATGAGTGGTCCGCGACTGCCGCGTGCGGCGAATCGATTAGCCAAAATCGTTCCTAACGCCCGTCTCTCGTGATTCTATATCGGAGGTAGTCGAACTTCTGAGACCACCATTCATTCGGCTTATATGCCAAAGGCATACTCACTAATATCCTTGATAACACCGTCTTTTGAAACCATGGTCACGGATTTTCTGCATTAATCAGTTATTTCTTTGAGCACTTCACGAGATTTGTATATATGCTTTATTGATGTGACCTCGTGAAGATTTCAGGAAAAGAACTAGTATACAGCAGTTATACCAAGGTTTGTAGAAAGCTGTACGCGAAAGGTGAATGCTCCGACTTCTGTCAGCATGAGCCCTAGACGTTCTCCCACTACTAACATTGATATCCCGAAGACACCTCTGTACATGGGGACGTCGATTACCTGATGAGTTTGCCTTACCGCCTATTGCTAATCATGAGGGACTGAAACGATCAATTTAAAACTTACATTAGAGTTGATTTGCTTCATATAATCGCTCAGAGCCTGCTTGTACTGGGCCACAGTAGCCATGTCTTGTTGGGTGGCTTGACGTTGTTGACCATTCTCTGTTACATATCCATTCTAAATAACGAGCTATAAAATCAGGCAAAGCGGACTGTCAACACTATAAGAGGTTTCTCGCAAAAGATAGAGTTAAAATCATATATTTCTTTCAGGAAAAGATCTTTTTGCTGGCAAAGATTAACACTCTTCTCGGAATACCTCGAATTTACAATTTCCGTTGGTAAAGGAGTAGTCTAGTATTTGAACTTGAGTATCACCACTTGATGAGCCGACACTGCCGTAAAGCGCATTCTGAAAGTGCTCGCCCTCAGAATATTGTCGCAGGAATGACAACTAACTGCTATAGAAAAAAGAGATACCTGAGTCTGCCCGTTATTGTACTGTTGGTTTCCACTAGGTTGTCCATATTGAGTTTGACCACTTCCGGCATCGTACTGCAGGCCGTACAAGTTCGGCTGCTGGCTGTTAGAGTAAGGTGCTTGCCCATTATTGAAATATTGGTCCTGATACGTTTGCTGTTGGGTATTGTATGCAGGTTGATTCTGCTGGTCATAGGAGTATTGCTGTTGGGTATTGTATGCAGGTTGATTCTGCTGGTCATAGGAGTAAGATTGAACTTGTCCGTTGTTCAGGTACTGGTTCTGAGTTGACTGTTGCGATTGGGTGTTGTATCCGACTTGGTTCTGCTGGGTCGCATACTGCGTGTTCGTATTGTACGACTGTTGCTGTTGGCTATTTGGGTATGACTGCTGATTGTTGAGAGTGTCAGATGGTTGATCGTATTGTAAGTTCTGACTATTCGTATTCACGGCAGTGTTCCCGTACTGCGTCCCAGGCTGTTGAAAGCCCTGTCCCGAGGAGTAGATAGTGCCATACTGTGTAGACTGTACGTACTGACCGTTGCTGTCCTGACCATCTACAACTGAAATTCCAAATGAATAATGCATTGCGCATTTTTTTTCATGGACTTTTCGAGTGAAATGCAGAATTTTTAGCTTATATTTTACTTCTTTTACCCATTTTCTCTGAGGAGTCTAGAGAGAATGAGCACTTCAGCCCGGTTTATTTCTTGTAAATGAGAATCAAAATACAACAGACCACTTCCTGAAGGGAATGACGAGGTCTAGTTTCCACTGACTACCTTCTTAGACAGGTGGGGCAATGTCAAACAAAGTGCTATCACGTATACTATCTGGGATCAAACCACGAACCTATATTCGCTCGAGCTCAGAAACTATTTAGGGCCTCCTCAAAGTTGGTGAATCGGTTCTAGCCTTTTGTAGGAGGACAATCGCGCTCACTTGAACGCACTCCAATTCGTAGTATGAAAGAAATTGAGAGGGGAACCTTAGCAAGCAAGAGGTACTTATCAACGAAGGAAACTTTAATCTAATGATTGCTTTTTATAAATACGAACAACTAAGTCGTCTGGCTAATAACGCTAGTTATGAAAAGAGAATGAAAAAAAAAGAAACCAGAAGAGGCGGAAGAGGAATTGATACGAAAGATGAGATGCTGGGACGGGGGTGTTTTTACCATCATATTTGATAATCAACTTTCAAACCTGCGTCATGGCTTTTGCCTCCGAATCTATGCACCCACTCTCTTCGTCGATGGCAGTATTGATCCTTATATCATTATTGGTGAGCTCTCTTTATCTCTGTATTTTCCATAGCTTTTTCCCCTGAGGAGGCATGAAATTCTAAGAGGAAGTACAGCCCGAATATACAACCACCATGGCGACATCTGTGCCGAAATGACTTAGAATCAATTTACTGTGTGACAGCGTCGCATTTTTTGAAGCTCACTTTAATTCGAGAAGAGGTAAAAGTAGGTAATCACATGAGATAATTAACTCATCCTTTCCACGACACCAAGCATTTGGTTTTTCCTGGTAAGCTTGGAGGTTCATGGAACCCATTAGGCTTGCGTTATATGTATAAGGATTTGATGGTGGGTAGGTACTGTACGATTTGCTGTGGTCCCACATGATTATGGTACTGATTAGTAATACAGACTTTCTGGGTTCCTTTGTATTATGGTTGAGAGCGGGCTCTCATCAGATCGAGCATGACTTAGCCTAAGCTCAGGCGTGCACAGACTGGTAAAAGATCACTTCATGAAAATGATACAGTAAGAAAAGGTCACATCTACTTAGTATGAAAGTTTGCGTAAGTTCGTTACTAACAATAGGAATCGTGGAACATGCAGAATTTCGCTTATCGGAAACTGTGTTTTTTTTTTACGGTTCTACAGTTCAATTGTAGCAAAGCGGCATGCATAAACAACGTTTCAAACAAAATAAAAAACAATTTCTGACACGTGGGTTGCAGTGGATTTTCGCATTCATTTCCACACGTGATTGAATGTTGCTTCTACTTTCTTTTTTACCAGAAAAGAACTGATATACTCACATTGTTGTGCAATAGTTAAGACGAGTGGGACGAGAAAAACGAAGACAAACATGACCGTGAGATTTGATGCCGTTTCTTGGTTTATGTACTCGTGCCGCGGCATACAAACAGGGAACTGTTTGACTCTGAGATTGACTTCGCCTCTCTGGCAATAATTGGATTCTTCTAGCGATTCGCAATAAATAAACAATGACTAATATTTCAGCATACCTATGCGGAGTACAACTCGGTAACCATAGATTATATGTGCGATATCTTGTTGCAGTCGAGGGGCGGAAAGGGTTCAACCACTTTCATAAATATAGCAAAGATTTTGCAAGCGCTCCATTCCAATCTAACAATCAATTTTTTGGAGTTTTAAATCTGTTCGCTGTATTTGGAACATGAATTGAATTGAAATATCTCTTCGTAGTGGTACTCTTGAACCTGATTAAAGGACTTGTGCAGTTTTCTTGTAAAACTAACCTAGTTGCCTTACAAGCGCACAAGGATATCTGCATCCTGGAAAACTATTGTGACTGTGACCACAGCTGTTTCATCATTTGGGTTTATTCCAAAGTAGAGTCACAAATTTTCGGTATTAAGAAGTTCCGATTATTCCTTCTTAGGTACATCCTGCACACAAAATTGTAGTTGCATTTTGACAAATCAGCAAGTAAACGTCCGATTCAGTGTTCGATTGTCGCCAGACAAGATTTTGCCCAATCAGCTCAGCACCAAGCGACTAGATTTCTAGCTGGCTCAGAGAATTCAGATTTTGCATCAGTGGTCATGCATCTGCTGATTGAGTCTGCCCCATGGTGCCAAGTGGGAACTTCCCTTTCCTTTATCCCCCATATATAGATATAACTGGATAGCATCTTTGACACTGTATAACCCACCTACTTATGGAAATTGTGTTTCCGTTTTCTCTTCGTTATTAATCGCTGTACTAAACTAATTGCTGAAAGGCATTCAGAGGGTATAATTATAAATTCAGTCTCCTTTCTTCACTATTTAAGCTCATATGAAACGGTTATGTGACGATGGCGGTAACTCCACCTGCTTCCACTAAACATTACAATTCACTTTACACCCTCTGTGCAATGAATTATTCGGAAGAATACATCGCCTGTAGGGTGTTTCAGAGATATTTCAGCTTTAACAAATGACGTCGAGGTAGGAATGAGGAATAGATAGCTGTCCAGCGCTTTTTATTATACAAAGCGCTACCACATATCAAGGCAGGTTGAGCTCAAATTTTATTTTATGAAAGTTCGTATAGTAGAAAGAGAGTGTTACTCATTCCGAGTTCGAACTTGTCGCGATATGCAAAATATATATAAGTGGGAATCGAAAGGCTGAGATCTAGTACGACCGAGACGGAACAGAAATCAGCGGAGTGATGGGGCTGCAAAGACAATATTCCTTTCCATGAATATCAATATCTGGTTTTCTAAAGGCGTTCAATGACTCTAACATCTCGATAGCTGCTTGCTGAGCCTGTAAGGGAGTGAGATCGAGATTTCTTGCTAGTTACTCACTCCTTTTGTCACCCATGTTTTAGCTACAACTCACATCGCTCACCTATGTTGAGTATCGGACACCTTATAAAGCTGTGAACGTAGTTGGGGTCTGCTTTGCAACCTCATGCACAGTCGACTGCTCCTAGATCAATTTCGCATTCCGCTCTTATTCTTGAGCTTGTATCACTACAAAAGGCATTAGAATAGTTGAAGAGAGCTCTAAAAAGATCAGCCCAGATGGAGTCTCTCGTTTTCTTTATTTCACCCGATATCATTAAAACATGTGATGCTTTAACAAAGTCCCAAGGCATGAGTAATTTCTTTCATCGCCTGTACAAGGTATGATAAGGAAGGGCTATGACTAAAAGCATTTCACCTTGCAAAGTTGGTTCTATTTCTGTTTTTAAAATATGTCAGGCTAGATTGAATGTCTTGAAACCCGAACTCGCATTATCGTCGTTTTTCAATAAGAACTTTTACGGCCCTTGGACCATCATTATATTCAAGGTTCATTTCAAAGGAGCAACTTTCTATATTCAGATAAGTCCCCAAGGGCTTCTGTCCGAACCGGATTTGAGACTGACGGGGGACAGACTTTGAGCAGTCGTTCAGTAGGATAAGAGTAGCACTGCCACTCCAGATTTTGTTCCGCTAGGAACAACATCATCTCTGCTTTCCGAGAAGACCTTGTTAGGTGAAGACCTGTTGTTCATCTTGGGATTCTTTGCAAGTTCTAATTAGCCAACTAACTCTTTTTAGTTCTACCTAGTTCTTAGAAAGCTGGTTTTGAGAATATCTTCATTCACGCTACATCGGCTCATTCACAAGCCGTTAAATGTGAAGTATCTGCACGGCTGAAATTGCATCTCAATTAATCAAGTCTATTAAATATAGAAACGATATAGGAGCAGAAAAAACGGTCAGACTTAAAAAAAGAAAGGCAATCAACGAAAAAAAAATTGCGTCCTATCGGTTTACGGGGAGGTGGGGGTGGGTGCGGTAATTGCAGTAAGATTTGCCGCATGCCGCAAGGCGAACGTCCGCAACCGGGGAGAAGTTCTTTTAACCAGAATGCTCAGATGAACCTGCGGTTGGGCGCGGCTGGATCGGATCAGAAATGAAGTTGTCAGAGCAGCTATGCAGTGAAGATGTCAGAGCGGCTATGCACTGGGAATCCAACAGAATCAATCGGGAGGAAATCAAGAAAGACCTCGCCGAATGTAAAGTAACGGCTGAAGATGCCATAGATAGATAAAGTGGAGGCGACTGACAAGAACGGTGGACCGTGCGATGGCGCTGGGTTAACGCTAGGGGGAAGAGGAAGATGAAGAAGTTCAATTCACATAATTTTGTACAATTTATAAAGGGTTCCGCCCGTAGCTCTTCATATCTCGACACGATATTTTATAATGAGGCTGAAATGATTAGGGAGGTCGAGTTACTTCCCCTACCATATGCAGGCTGCGATCATGCATCCGCAAGCTCCACCCTGGTGTGAGCCCGCTCACTGTCGCACTGAAAAAGTGGGTAAGGGATCGAAAGGACAGATAGGTACCACTTTTCTTACCCAAAGTGCTCCGTACAAATTTCTCTAATGTTTGGATACAACGATGCGCTGAAGAAGCCAGCCGTGGCCTAGCCCGGTAGCTGATGATCATGAGCCTACTTGAAGTGCCTGCAAATTTTTTGGCAGAAAGTTGTGTGAATGCATTTAAATGCAGTGCGCACTCAAAAGCTAATTAAATCGAAGAACCCTTGAGAGCTATTCTCTTGCATTACTAAACTACTCAGGGAGTCTATTCTGATACTGGCAATTTATAGATCTGTTTCAGACATTGTATGGCCACTCTCACTCGGTCACCCCAGATTTTGCTCTTGGTATTGTCCTTCTCTGAGAATTTCTGTTGAATTCTTTCCAGAAGTTCCATCTTAGTGGAGACAATCCTTCATACTTAATGTTTCACTAAAGCCTCTCTTTGGTAGTCCTGCGAACTAAGGGACAGCTGGTGTTACTCGATTTATCAAGGC